AGTTCACAGTTCAAGAGTTGAATTTCTCACAATGAGAGCTTATAACCAGATATGTAAAGTCCCATAGTCAATGCCCTCGTACAGGGAATCGATTTCAATACTGGCCTGACTGCTGGAGGAAAGGGTACGTTTCTCACGCTCACAGGCAGTGCAGAGCCGACGGATGGCTCACTTGTTCTCACTGTTTGCGCTTGAACTCGGTGATGAAATGGTTGACCATTCGATTGTCAAAGTCCTCGCCACCCAAGTGGGTGTCCCCGGCCGTTGACTTGACTTCAAAGATGCCATCTTCAATGGTGAGGATGGAGACGTCAAAGGTGCCGCCGCCAAGGTCAAAGATCAACACATTTCTCTCTGCACCTACTTTTTTGTCCTGTCCATAAGCAAAAGCAGTGGCAGTTGGCTCATTAATGATTTGGAGCACATTAAGGCCAGCAATGGTTCCAGCATCTTTTGTCACCTGGTGTTGGGAGTCATTGAAATAAGCTGGGACTGTAACCGTGGCGTTAGTAACTGTCTTTCCCAAGTACGCCTCGGTTATCTTGTTCATTTTGGTTAGCACTATAGAGGATATCTCCTCGGGATAAAAGCTCTTCGTTTCTCCTTTGTACTCCACCTGGACTTTTGGCCTACCATCATCATTCACAACAGTGAAAGGCCAGTGTTTCATATCAGACTGGACAACAGCATAATCAAATCTGCGACCAATCAGGTGTTTTGCATCAAATACCATGTTTGTGGGGTTCATGGCCACTTGGTTATTTGCAGCATCTCCAATGAGCCTCTCTGTATCTGTAAGGCAACGTAGCCTGGCGTGGTCCTGTTACCCTGATCATTGGCAATGATTTCCACCTTGCCATGCTGAAAAGCACCCACACAGGAGTAGGTAGTGCCAAGATCAATGCCAACAGATGGTCCCTTAGACATTGTTGCTGCTTACCGCCGCACCAGTTCAAAATAAATAGCTCAGAGGACCCTCCACAAGAACGACTAAGGAAGAAGCAACCTCAGAGAGGCCAGAGCTTCAGCTATCCTAATCACACTCTGGTAGTCAAGGCAACCATGGAACACCACTCTACTCTGTTTCACAGGATGTTCTTACAACTTCCGCAACATCTGGACATGATCTCTCAGAGGTGGGGGGAGCAAATGCATTCACTATCCTAACCTCCAGTCTGTCTGCCTAATGTCATGGATGATCTCTCCCAAGCAGTTTTAGGTGTTTTGCACATCTGAAACTAAAATTGCAGTGGATGGAAGCCATCCACTCTTTCATCTTACCTAGCTAAGTGGAATAACTTCTCTGGCTTTGTGTAAGAGAAGGCTGTGTCTCCAGACATCTATCATATTTCATACATTTTACAATTCCTATTATCATTACAGACTTTCATCTTCTTCCATCAATATTTATTTAGCTGCTCTTTCTCCATATCATTTGCATTCAATGTTGAGACTATCATGTTTACTGATACAGTGGTGCCTCACATGATGACGTTAATTCGTTCCAGCAAAATTGCTGTAGAACGAAAATGTCGTCATGCGATTTTAAAAGGCCCATAGAAACGCATTAAAACCCGATTAATGCATTCCTAGGGGCTTCAAACTCAC